TATTCATCAGTCAGTCTACCAAGTTAATCTATGAAACTTCAGAAGCTATTTTGAATGGATCACTTACTCACAGTTACATTTAGTGTAATTCAAAATGTATTCCATGTATGCATACAGGTCATTCCAAATACTAATATAAAAATTCGCCTTTGATTACTGATATAATGTTAATGAGGAAGCAGATTACACCTTTATGATTTTCAGTATCAAGACATTCAAGACATGAATTTATCAGTCATTTCTCTGTGTTACGGGACAACTAAATACATTCCGTGTTCTTATTCTACCTTTGGATATCAAAGTGATCGTTACCTCCAATGTATAACGATCTTTATCCTCAATAAATCTAATTCCTTTCAGTGACGAAGTTCCCCTGGCTTACAAATAAATATGAGACTAGTTCATTCTCATACATTATTTTACTGTCTCGAAAATATCAAATACACCCTAGAACAAGTCTTATGTTTACTTGAGACACTTGTTATTAAGCTATCTTAAAAATCTATTGATAGACACAAATCATTAAATGTGAACATTTTAAACTTTCCATTATTGTTTTACCCTTAAATTGTCAATACTTCATCACATGTTATTATGACCTTTTATTGTAAGCAATTTAATGAGTATTAAGTGATTTTATTGAGCAGCAAGACTGAATAAACACATTTTTAATCAAGAGTTTCTTTATTTAATTTATCATTCTACATTTTAGTTATCAACTATTTTTATGGAAAGCTTTTCACTAGTCCGTACCATATATATATATATACTCTATCAGCAGATTGATGAATAGACTCACTGATAAATGACCAATTTAATGAGATTTTAGTATAGCTGTTAGTTTTTTTTTATCAGTTAACTCTAAACAAAATACAAATGGACTACTAATGGTTCATTTAAAAAAGCTTAGTAATATTGCTGAAAGACACTGTAAGTAAAAAAAATAATGAGGTGTATAATTAATTCACTACTCAATTGATAAAATGTAATTACTGATGCTCAACTTGAAGTGAACAAGAAAAATAAAATAAATTAAAAAATTGAAACTCATCATTTTCATATCGTACTATACTTTATTTAAACTGTTTATTTATTGACCGCTTGTTCACTAATCAGGCCAGATAATAATACTTCACATACAACAATGAAATCACAAAAAAAAAAAACTTTCATTATTCATTGTTTTAATTTTAAAACAAAATTAACTATTTCACTTGTGAAACAAAACCTGAAGATAATGATCTAATCTAACGACAGTAATTAATCAACCGAAAAGTGATCACAGCGCAAACTAAAAAAATGTTAAGAATTAATGAGAGTATTTTATAAATCCAACTGATGCATATCTGTTTATTGATTTTATTTCAGCTTTACAAATCTCTCATTCTTATGAAATCAAACTATGTCGAAAAATATTAAACCTAGAAATAATAAACTGATTTTATTCGCCAACGAAATGTTTTGTTTACTTAATTTTCCATTTTGATGACTAATTATACACGTTTTTTTCATTTGATCAACTTTTAGTCTTGACTCAGCATACAAACAAAATTGCAACATATTTAAAATTCACTGACTTACAATCAACATCTTAACCGATCAAATCAAATTAATTTGTAATTTCAAGCGAACAAAGTTTGATAATAAAATGTAAATCTTAAACGCTAATAAACATATACTTTAAAATATCATAGATGGTAATTACTTAATTTATAATAATAGCTAAATATAATCATGAAATTGCAGTTTATGATTAGACTAGTTTATCATGACATAATTAAATGCAACGATTATTGGAGATCCGTTTGGTTGTTTAATAAAATTGCTATTTTTCAATGAATCGACTTTTTAAGTTCTATTGTGTTACATGACAAATGAGACAGTAAAATGTCCTGATTGTCGCTGACATAAATTTATTGAGAAATCGAGCAGAAAGGATTTATTATGCTGCAAAGTAATATAATGTAATTAGAATATGTAATGCAGTTAGCATTTTTAATTCATAAATTATAAACTCCTAATAACATTGGAAGGTACTACTGTACCTCGCATACATTTGTGTTTGTTTACCTTTAATTTCGTTAAGCTATTTTGATTAACTTATTTAATAGACAGTCATTCGTATAGCAATAAGTTATCTCTACCATTATGCTTTTATTATTGTTGTGCCCTGGGCGAGCCTTTAGGCTTGAGTATCGCTTATCCCCTGGGCTCATATTCATTCTATTCGCTTTGATAATAATCCCTTAGAATACGTCCTATGTATATATATGTACATTTTAATCCTATTCACTAACTCACTCACTCGCTTGCTCTTCGGTACTCAAACATCACTTGGCTTTCGCTTCGTATGCCTGTGGTTTCGTGATCTTTTTGTGATACGATAATAAACGCAATCAACGCTTAGTATTCGTCTTCTGATTTATACACCGTTGGGCTTTATCTGTTAGCGGTTGTCAGCACAAGCATAGTACGAAGTTTACAAATATATCGAATACCGACCACTGTGGTGGTGTTTCGTTCTCTGAGCCGGATGTTTTGGTTTTGGAGCTTTCATTGTTCATCTGAACAACATCATCAGCACAAGCTTCATATGGAAGGGAAGCATTCGAATTTCTCCACGTTTGACTTGTAGCTTGTTCTGCTAACCTCGATCATGATTGGTTGCTGTTGACCTTAAACCTGTCGTTGTTTGCACCTTTGTTTTGATTGTATCTCCCTTCTGATCTATTTCTTGATCCTATGATTTTTCTTATTGGCTGATAAATTGGCTCAATATCTATGTGTTTGTTGATTGCTTATTGGCCTGAGTGCCAAGCTTGTGTGTTCTTTGTGTTCCCCCTATCCAGTATTTCCACCTTGTCCCAATCGACTGTATGTCCATAATTGTCCATGCGTTGATATAAGCGAAGAAATGTCGTGACGTTTGACTGCTAATTCGTGTTCACGTAAACGAAGCTGAGGAAGCCGTCCACTTTGTCCTATGTGGTGTTTTTCACAGTCTGAGCAATTTATTTTGTAGATGATATTTGGTTTTTCTTCTTTTGTCATTTTGTTCTTTGGTCTACATAGGATTGATTGAAGTGATTCTGTTGGTTTGTGTGCCACACCTATTCCAAATGATTTCAGTAGTCGTGCTGTATGCTCCAATATGTCTTTTATGTATGGTAGGATGATCCGTTTATTGGTTTCTGAACTTGACTTCGCTTCTTTTGACGATTTTGGTTGATGTTTTTTGATAAAGCTGCGTGGATAGCCCAACTACAACTATTTTATTCACATATTTGTCAGCAAACAAAACAGGAAAAAATGGAGCGTTTTACAACGATACCTTCAAACCAACAAATGTCAAAATAATGTACAAATTGATAATAACGTTGATTAAAAATATCTGAAACTTAATAAATATGGAAAACATAATCGAAAAAAAGTAGAACCAAAAACTGTGCTGAAACTATTCAAAAACCACTTATCATTTTACATCATAGAAAAAAATTATAACAATCTCACTTCATATTTATGAGAAATGTTTCTAAACTTTGAAGTGCAATTCTAAATGCTCAACCCCACTACACAAGTGAATGTCTGAAGAAGAAACCAGCATATGTTTGATAAATACATCATAGATCTCAAAGAAGAATTCAACATTTACATACTATCTTCTTGTTGTTTATGTTTTCATTAAATTTCACAATCCACAATTTCTTCATTCCTTACCCTATATATAATTTAATGGCATTTGTCTTCCTACATTCATCTCTGTAATTGAACAATCTTGGTAACTCTGAAATTTTAAAAATTTATTCACAAAGCAACAACTAAATAAATGATTTCCAGTGCAAAGGAATTATATAAACATCAAGAGTGTACCGAAAGCAATTGTACTGCTTAAGTTGCATGTAGAAGTGTAAAAATGCGAACTATAGGGGTCCACTGTAATTTAAACACACATTACAAAATAGTTTAAAAAACTCAGCAGTTTGTAAACTGTAATTATTTAGCCTCCCTGTGCTTGTTCTGTGTTTTAACAAGCAAGATAAACAACAACGTCGGTCAAATTTATCCAGAATTTCAATGGAGAATCGTTTAGTAAGCATTTGAATATATCGATTCTCTTATTTTTATCAAACAACCCAAAAAATATTTTGGTTTTCCCCACAGTAGTTTCATCACCGTAAGCAGTTGAGGTTTCATTTTTAAATACTGAATACATCATAAACTTTGAAATCATTCGTAGATCCGATAAAGGATTGTCAAAACAGTCGATATCACAAAGTTTTTTCACTTGCAACCACTCAATATGTTTTGATACGGAAATATTAATTCAACCAATCATTAGTTAAAGGACACAGAATAATAAATTTGTCCTAAATGTGATGTAAGAATCCGATAAAACAACTTCAGAATGGCTCTTACATTTGTTAATTGATTGATACCTGTAAGCTCAAAATTGTAGAAACATTAAAATAATTAAATCTAGTAAAAGGAATTGATATAATCAGTAATATGCAAATCTGTTTTCTTAAAGGACAACAGAGATAAAGCGTCTAATGAGATTGTAACAACTCTAATCATTTATAATTATGATAACATGTTTTTTATTCGGAAAAAGTTTGGAATCTGTGTGCTAAATATAGTTTGACTAATTTCTGCTTGAATAATTGGACGACTCTTGCTTATTATTTATGCTGAAAAAACTTCTAACTATAAAATCTCATTGGTTGATTTGTGCTTATTGTGTAGTCATCAAATTTTGAAGTGACCCTAAATTGTAGTAGGATAAACAGATTCAAATGAACTGCATTTGTGTTTGTTTGCTTGTTAAATTGTGAATATATTGCTAAGCTCCGTGATCACGTGGACATTTTTGTGCATTATATGTATAAATATATATATATATTCATGTACAATTCCACCGACTTTTTCAGAATAAAACTACGCAAAATTACTTATCAAGGTAACAATAAGTGAAATTCCACGTAAGGGAAAATCAAGATTCTTTTAATCCTTCGAACAAATATCGAAATTTTCTTGAGAAAATACCCAATAATACATGATCATTTTACTATAAAATAATTATGGTTAAAATTCATTTTAATACAACTGGACCTGATTCTGACCAAGTAACTAACGGTAAAAATGTGGAAGGTGATGGGGGACCATTGAAAGTGTCTGCGAATTCAGCAAGGAAAGCGAGGTAAGTTATAGTAACGTATTTTTATTATTATACAGTGAAAACATAAATTACTAAACAGTGTGAATATAGTTAAATTGTAGTAAGGCTTGTTAATGAGTGGTAAATGTTTTTAGAGATTAATTTATCATGACTCTATACTCTACGAAGTCTAAATTCATAATTGTCACAATTTAAACCTTAGTAGACAAGACTATTATGCTGTAAGATGAAAGCAAGTTCAAGAATAAAATTCTTTTAGTTTGCATTTTTTTTAATTTTGAATTTATGAAATTTTTCAACCTGTCATTATCAGTCACGTGAAGAAAATTGTTTTTGGCAGGGATTACTGTCTAATCAAATATATATTTTTGTACGTTCAAGTATACTTTTAAAAATATACACATGTGTATATTTACAAGCATGATCTTAAGAGACACAGTTATGAAGGAACTACGTTTGTAAACTTATCGGTCCGCCATTATTCTGCACTGTCTGTCATAACTTTAGGTTTGATGTTAAAAAAAAACTGTCTTACTAAAATCTACATTGATTGTTTCGCATAAAACTGGTGTCATTGTTTATATCATCCGGGTAAGTCGTGATTGTCTTTTTGAGTTTGATGCTTCTCAGAAAAAGCTCTGTGTATATAAGCTCTTCTATAACGTCATATAATATTTATGTCTTTTTAAGTATATTTGAAGATAACAAAAAAAATAAAAACTAGCTTTATCTATGAAAATGAAGACTAAAGGCGGTATCCAACTTAAATCGCAGCTGAATTTGAAACTGCTGCTTTGATTATTGATTAATCTGCAAAGATGGCGACTAATTTGTTATTCTCTTGTAAATGACTAAATCCAGACGTTTAAATCTGTTTTTTTTTTAGTTTGTGTGCTTTATCAATAGACGTCACTGAAATTTTTAGTAATCATAAACTATGAGAGTTTTGTTTATGATTATCAAATTGCTGCTTATGTTTGTAACCAAACAGAGAAGGAGTTTGTAAGCTAATCAATCGTTAATCGTTTTAGAAATAAATTCTGTGTAACCATATTAGTCTTTTGTATTACAAGTAATAAAAATGATGACTAAAAACACATCTCTTATTTAAACATTCTTTTCACAGTAGATCCCCAACAAACAAGTATTTTTTGATTGTATCTATCGGCTTTATTTATCCTGTCGATTAATTGAATAAACTGATTTCAAATTGTGTATGAATAAATAATCAGTTATTTAAAGGTATCTGTCATTTGTTAAATCTGTATAAACTGAACGAATATCAAAGATGTCCAAAAATTGGAATAAGAAAATTATAACCAATTTATTTAACATCCTAAAAACAATAGAATATCGAAGTCATTTATGTGACTTTTATTCTGACAGTCAGCTTTATACAATTGAATAAACAAACCTAAATAAATTATTCCTAACATATATAACCCTTTTAAATCAATGCATTGAAGATTCCGACCAAAATTATTTGTGATCGAAATACGCTCAATTTAACACTGACTCCAATTTCTCTTTATCATTGACAATGAATAGCAAAACTTATCCTAATCAAATGTATGTTACATAGAACACAAATTCAGAAGTTTCTTTTTTTTTGTGAAAAATAATGATAAATGATTGACAAACAAATTACAAGCTATAAGTCGATAGAATCACGATAAAATTCTAAGATGATCATTGATACATTAACCGAATGGCGCATTTATTAGAAATTATTTATAGTATACGAGTTGAAAACTTTTTCTATCAAGTGGTTGAAAATTGACAACAATATATATATATATATATATATATATATATATATATATATATATATATAATTAAAAATTGATAGATGAATGACTGTAAACTATAATTCGAAAAAAGTCGATACGTGAAATGTGGATAAGAACAATCCAGAAGGAATATTAGACCAAATATATATAACTTACTCGACTATAGCTAATATTCATAACAGGTAAAGCGGCTGTACAAAAGCCTCATGTAAAAAAAGCTCACATTCTGACGATTGCCTTTCTTTGTATCAGATGTATATGTAAACCTTTGTATAAATCAGATGGGGTAAGGTACCTGACTCATAATTATTAGTTCTACCTCTTCGATATATTTAACTATTCTATATCAGTTGTGAAAAACACAAATAAGCTTCTAATTATAGATGGGACTATACAGTTAAAGTTTAAAGTATACGTGAAAAATTAATTACTTATGTAAAATTACTACAATTTTAACAGATACCAACTGATAGGAAATGTAACTTGGTAATCATTCCGAAACTGTTAATGAAATATGAAAAAGCAGATAATTAATTAACAAACATTTTCCCCAATAATCTTTATGCAAATGTTATATCATCCATAAATCAGAGTTATGCGAAGGAACAATATGTTATTACTGCTCGTTGAATGTTTTACACAAGAACAATAATTTTCCGAAATGATTATGTAACGTGGTTCTATATAATTCTTGTCTTTCCTTATAGCTTGTAGCAAAACTTTATCATGCCTATGATTATGCAACCATTACATTTCAAAATACTTTTAGTCATTTAACCTAAAATTTATTAACATTTGAAATGACCAAAACATTTCGAATGATATAAAACAGTTGAGTTTTCATGTAAAATGCTATTTATTTTTGTTAATAAATATACAATTTTGACAAGTACACCGGACCAGTAACCAAATCGAAACTACTATCTACTAGAACACCTTAGAAAATCACTACCCACCAGAACTCAAATCATCTTCACTTAATATAAGGTTTTGATTGGAGCTCAGAACTACTTAAAAACAAGACTGCATAAGGAATACAGGGCTCATTAAAACAGAACTTTTATTTGGTTTCTTAAATAAACTACATTTAAATGCTTCTATCTGCTATAGAACAATGTTACCATGTTTACCTACTTACATACAAATGGCTGTTACCCTGCATTCAGCATGAGCCACCAACCACGATGCTTCAACAAACTATGTCTTGTGCTCTTCTGATATCTCTCTCCAATCATCGGCTCAATGTATTCATTGCTCTACATCCTTTCCCCGAAACTTGAGGGTTCCAAGTGAGGGCTCGCCTCGCGATGCAGTTCGGTGATTTCTAAAACGTGTGGCCCACCAATTTTCAGAGATTTTTCATTATTTTTTCCTCAGCTACATACTGGCTTGCTCTATCCCACAGAAGATTGATGCTGACAGAGTCTGAACAACAAAACCAGAGTATTTTATGTAGACATTTGTCTACAAATACCGACATCTTTTGGATGATGACATTCGCAGTTCTCCAACTTTCCACTGCATACAACAGAACTGTCTAGAAAGTCGCATTAAAAATTCTGAAGTTGATGCTGGCTGATAGTTGTTTTGGGTTCCGAATGTTCCTCAACAGTAGAAATGTAGCCGTTGCTCTGCTATTCGCTGTCCTAACATCAGCATCAGATCCAAGAGTGGGTTCCATCGTTGACATTCTTTCGTCTGTATATAACGCCGTTGAATGTAAATTTTGCTGAAGATGTCAAAGATATTCAGAGTACAATAACGCTTGTTTCCTTAACATAACTTAGACTGAGGATACACACACTTGCAAAGATGTCCTCTCTTTGGTATCTCGATGTGTTCTTCTTTCCAGTCTTTCGACACTTCCTCCAAAATCTTTCTTGAAAGAGAGTGGTGCATGTCTGTGGTTACTTCTTTGACTAAAATGAGTACCACAGCTGGTATGTTGTCTGGTTCTACTGCTTCGCGACTCTCGACTTGTCTTGTGAACATACTGATTCATTCAACGGTTGGTGAAGTTTCATTTATAGGAGTGTCTGTGTGTGTTGCTTCGATATTCGATGGGTTCAGTTGTATTGATCTATTCAAGAGTTCTCGGAAGTGTTTTACCCATCTGTTTCGATGTTCTTGTATTTCATTGAATTGTTTGCCTTCCTTGTTATTCACTAGTCGTTTTAGTTTACCATATTTTAGCGAACCTCTTTGTTGTATCATATAATTGTCTCATACTTCTTTCTCTTGCATCTTGTTCTGTTATCATTGTTCGATCTTCCACATATTTGCATTCGTCAGTTCTGATGCTCCTCTCCTTTTGGTTGTTTGTTTCTGTGTATTTGGCCTGTGCTTTGGCATTCTCTAATCTTTTTAGGCCATCTTGTTCTTTCTTCCGTGAATGCTGGCCGGAGTACCAGTTTCATTTAAGCCATTATCAGTTGTTGATCTGAATCTATGTCAGCTCCTTCAGAACTTTTTATTGAATTAGATGTGATCTATTTAGTTCTTCGTAGTGTGATCCACTGAAACCCATGTAGTTTCTTGTATGTGTTTGTGTGGTAACTCGGCGCCACCTATAACCATTTTTCAAGGCACACAGACTTGGTAGTCGCTCACTTTTTTTTCTCCCAGTCGATATCGTCCTATGTGTCACCATGTTTAGTAAATATTTTATAGTCGCTATTATCATTTTGAAAATAAGCATAAATTTGCCATTGTAAAGCTTTGACAGTGAATACAGTGTAGAGAGAACTCTCTACTGATACTACCTTTCTTATATTATGTCTCAATGATATATTCCATTAACTAGGTTTTTAGAGAAGTTCTTACCTAATTTTAGCCACACTAGACTAGTAGCTGATTAACATAATCCAAAGTAGCAGATAAAATAATTTCATAAGTTCGTCGAAACTCGATGTGAATGATTTTAGGGATAAAATGCAACATGTTCATTCAGTGTTCTGATTTCTTTTGATTTGACCGCGTATTGGAAAATATTTTATACCTTAATAAAAATTAGTATCAGTCTAAAAATCATTCCAGTGATTTCCTTTTTTGAAGACTAATTTGACGGATATTAGTTTGCAAGGGAATCGATAGTAAGATTTATCATGAAATGATATATATATATATATATATATATATATATATATATATATATATTATATCCTTGAGGAAGAATGACTAATCCAAACTTAATACTATTCTGCGCAGAAGTAGATAATCGCTATTAATGAA